AAAAAAAAAAAAAAAAAAAAAAAAAAAAAAAAAAAAAAAAGAAAAGAAATTACAAAATGGCAGATATTCTCCAATTGACAATTATTCTAAAGCGAAAAAAAGTGATTTTTACACCAAACTGTAGAGGTTTGCTAACATTTTTTGCTTTGATTACAGTTTAAACAGTAAAACAACAACAAAAAGATAAGGCAATGAACTTTAGGAATCGTAACTGCAGAACTACGTTAAAAAGCAAAACTTCTGGATGTAGGATAATTTAGTAGAATGACTGAGAGCCTAAGACTAAAACAAAACTGCATTATTAAACCTACCTGTCCAACTTATTAGCGTTATAATCGCTCTCAGTTTCATCATCTTCCTTAAGTCTCAGTTATTCAATCTTTCAAATGGGATAACAACTTGAAGAAACTCCTGGGTGGTGCCTGGATCATGAGAGTACTTTTATGCCTCCACATCACCTAAAATGTCCATTTTAATATCTACATCATTTTGTTCATTCAAAATTTTTACGTATCCGACAGACGAGTCAGCAGAACAGATCTCCAACCCTATAAATATACACCATCATCTCCGAGAAAAAAATTTAGATGAGTCTTTCAATTCTGTTACCTGTGATATTATTCACACAGTAATATAAATAACTCAGAGAATTCACGAAGCTTGGTCAAATAAAACTAGTATTTTACTAACAATAATATCAAGGCGATGTGAGAGTACAGAAGGCTAAGTAGACTCTCACAGATATCAGATCCTCACCCCTGGGGTCCCTAAATGCTACCCTATTTGGAAAAAAGGGTTTCTAAAAACAGACTTAGTTACAGACTTTGAGGTAAAGAAATTTCCCCATTCGAGCAGACCTTAAATGCTATCACCCCTATTTAGAAGGAGGCTCAAGGTGCTGACACACGGAGAGGTGTTATACACACGGAGAGTCGTGCAAACACTCGTACACTGAGGGTGCTACCCCGTCACTGGGTTCTGCCATCAGATGCGCCGCGGGTCGGCGGGTGTGACCATGGGGACTGTATCTGCTCACAGGCCGTGTCCTCTCTGGTGGTCTCGCCTGCTGCTCCCCAGATGCCCTGACCTGAGCAGCTTTCCTCTGCCGTGATGGTTCCGTCTCAGAGCCGGCCAACCACGGACTGCAGCCTTCTGAAACTGAGCCCACACAACCCTTTCTTTCTTGATGTCGCATGTGTCAGTTATTTTGTCCCAGCAAGTGCAAGGGTGACCACTATGAAAGGTTAAATAGAATAAAGGATGTAGGAAACACTTAGCAGTGTTTTCCATAGTATGTGGTCTATAAATATTGTCTCTACTAATTTTAAAAAAAGATATTCTTGAGGTCTAACTAAAATATTCTTTTCTTAGGTAATGTCCATATAAACTTCCACATAGCAAGGGAAATGAAAATAATCTCCCTTGTAAGTGATACACTTAAATGTTGAATGAGGATGCATTATCAGTAGTTTCCCCTGCCCTTCTATAAAGATACTATTTGTAGCTGTAACGTACAAAATAACTTGAAAGCTTTAGCAGTAGTAACTACAATGTTACCAAACAATAATGTTATTCGGAAAAGTAAACTATTTTCTCCAATTTCCTCTATGCAAGATATGACTCTTAATTTCCACAATATGAAATTAAATTTTCTCTGATCTATTAAAATCACAAGTTTAAATTTCAAAAAGGTAGGGGAAATTCAAGAATAAAGAGCTTTCACCTTAAGGAGATGTTTAAATTTTTTAATTCCGCAGTTTTTAAATGATTCTTGTTTCAGGTTAGTGTTGAAAACTCCTAAGGTTTATGTGAATGTGTATATTAATGTAAATAATACCCTAATGCACACTTTCACTTACGAAGAAGCTCAATGAACATGATATAAAAGGTGACTGATAAGCTGGTCCTTACCAGTATCTTAAGTCTTACTTCCTCTTACCTCCTGCCCCATTCTATGCTAAATGGCTTCAACAAGACTTGCGCAACAATGGTCAGAGCAACGGTCTTAACACTAGTGAAACACTGAAATCCAGCCAAATGCTCCTCAGAAGAAAAATGGATTAATTATGTTGGAATCATAAAATGGGTTATCATATATCAATTTAAAAAATAAAGGATGAGACGTGCGAGGAAATAAGTATGTTTATCCTGATTACACAACTGTATGCATGTATTAACACTGTAAATGATACCAAATAATATGCATAATTTTTATGCTTTTATATATGTTTACAAAATTTTAAAAAAGAATGAAACACAGGAAAGAAATGGATGAAATACACGACATGTTTGAGCTTTAAAAGTCAAGACAAAAAAGAGAACAGATTCTATGACTCGATTTATAGGAGGTTTAAGAATAGATTAAACCTCCTGCTGGGTGTGGTGGTGCATGCCCGTAATCCCAGCACTTGAGAGGCTGAGGCAGGAGGATCGCTGTGAATTCGAGACCAGCGTGGGCTACAAAGTAAGTTCTAGGTCAGTGTCAACTACATAGTGAGACCCTGACTAAAAAAAAAAAAAAAAAAAAAAAAAAAAGAATGGACTAAACGAACCAATAACCAAAAGTGGTACATCAGAAAGTTCTTACTTCTAGGTGATGGGGTGTTGATTGGGAGTAGGCATGAGGGAAACTTCCACTAGAAATGCTCAGTATCTATCTAGGTGTGACTAGACGGGCTCTCCCCCATTTGCTTGCTTGCTCATTTTTTCTCTTTCCACCACATATATGCAGAAGTTCAGTAAATTATACATGCAAGATTAATGAATGTCTTATACTTTACTCAATAAAGCTTTTAAACACCAAATTACTAATAATTTCACTTATACACCAGGCTGTATTTTCCTGCTCACAACTGCCCCAATGCAAGCCTGAGGGCAGGGTTTTTGAATCTTTTGTTCACTGTGTATCCCCAGCACCTAGAAGAGTCCTGGCACACAGGAAGCACCACGAATGTCTGCAGAAATAAATGCCTTGATCTCATCGTTCCAACACTGAACGCCTCTACCACACCCTCCTTTGCCCATTTACCTGGCCCTCACCTTCAAACATTTTTTGTCTTTGGGATGAAATAATGTTCACCCACATGCTCTGTTTACCTCTAGCATTGCAGTAATTACGATCAGCCGAAATGATGTATTTATGTTTTCCCATTAGGTACTGTTTGTTTTATCTTATTTTATTTATTTACTTTTTTATTTGGTACTGGGGATTAAACTCGGGACCTTATGCTTGTGAGGCAGGCGGCAGAACCACCGAGCCAAATCCCCAGCCCTCGTACTGTCTGTTTTAGAGCTAAGGAGACTGAGGTCCAGAAAGCTTACATAAATACGCAAGCAGGCAAAGTCAGTAAGTGAAGAATTTCAGTAAAGTTTGCCTCAACTCCAAATCGTATGCTTTACGTTGCACCGCCCTCGTTCTCGCCCTAAGGAACACCTAACGTCTCCGTTCAATGTTTTAAAGCACAAGCAGTCCTGCGTCTTTAGACCTTCTGATACTGTCCTGCTTACTGACACTGCGGCCCACCTGCTCCTTCCCTTCCAGACCTCTTCGCACTTGTTCTTCAATAAATTTGGCAGTCTTTTCTTCATCATCGAGGTCCTGCTTCTTCTTCTTCTCCAGTTCCAGCTGCCGGCGAATAGTTTCTGGGTCCCTGTCTATGTATTGAATGTACCAGCCTTTTGGTGTCTCATCCACTTTGCACAAACCTTAAGAAAACAACAGGCACTACACGTCTTTACACAATCAAAGCGAAATGTAAACAGAAACAAGTTCCATCTTTGCATATTTTCTCATTCATTCAAATACGATCAAATGCACAAACTTCATGAAATTTTCATATTTACATGTAATGAAATTCAGATACAAGTAGCTTTTTATCTCTTCAAACAGAAAAACTATCAATGATTTTTACATAGCTCCATTGAGTCAACATATTTAAACAAGGGAAATACACGAAAAAGCATTATTTTGCAGAGTAATTTTTCGGCCATACCTATGCATCTAATATCCCATGAAAGCAAGACTCTCTGGTAACTTGAAATGGAACAAAGTAACACACTGAAAAAAAGGACGTTGGCTTAAAACTCCTTTCTTCTCCTAACTTCTTGTCCTATGCAGACTAGAAACAGAAAAAGAAAATATTTTTTAAAAAAATCACTTTAAGATGGGATAAGAGAAGTTCCGTAAAGTTAGATAAACATGGGAGGGAAGGGGCTTGGGATGTAACTCAAGGTGCTGTGCCTGCCCGGCAAGTGCAAAGTGCCGAGTTCAATATCAAATATCAAAAAAGAAAAAAGGAAAAAGAAACTGGTGGGACGGGTGGAAGAGACTGCTAGTAACTTTCCACCTAAATAATGCTCCACTGATAAATCTTTGAATGGTCAAAGGAATTATTCCAAATACTCATAATCAACTATAATACGCAAAATCAACCCTAGGATAGTATGTCCTCCTCCAGTTTTTCTTGTAGTACTGGGACTGAGCTAAGGGCATTCACATGGGGCTTATGTTCCCAACCCTATTTTAATTTTGAGACAGGGTCTGCTAAGTTGCTAAGTTGCCCAAGCTGGACTCAAACTTGTGATCCTCCTACCTCAGCCTCTCATCTTGGGATTACTCCAGTTTTTATATTGCCCTATGCATTCTTTTTTTCTATGAATGTAGAATGAAACTGACAATTTTTTCTCTCCTTTCAATAAAGCCACAAAACTACTGGAATAATCTCTTCTTACCTTCTCTGCCCAGCCACTTAGTAAAGTCAGTCAGTGTTTCCCACTGAGTAGCATTCATGTGGATGTGCTCTCGGTGGCTAATGTACTCATTGTAGACGATGTTGTTATGGACTCGCTTGGTACCTAAGAAGAAACACAATACTGTGAATCCTGAGAGGATTTTATAATTGTGAAGTTATTATTTATACAATAGTTAAGATGTTTACCAAAGCGTCTCCTGAGAAGTTCTAGAAAGTCATTACGGAATTCCCTAGTGAAGAAAGAAAGGAAAGCATTAAGGTACTTTCTACAAATAAATAGCATCATCTTCCTGAAATTTAAGCAGTCATATACTTCTAATGTCCAAATGATACATGAAAATTTTACATGATTATTAGGAACCTGAAAAATCTTAACAAGGAAAAAAATCCAAAAGATTAGAGCTTTCAAGAATTAATGGTGAGGGCCGGGGATTTAGCTCAGTGGTTTGGTGGCCTGCCTTGCAATGATCCCAGTTCAATCCCTGGTACCAAATCCCAGAAAAAAAAAAAAAAAAAAAAAAAAAAAGAATTAATGATGAAAGTCATTTTGAAGTTGAAATGTTTTGTCCTCGTAAAGCAGCCACAATAAAAGTTAACACCTGGGGCTGGGGAGTTAACTCAGTGGTTCCGCTGCCTGCCTCGCAAGCACAAGGTCCCGAGTTCGATCCCCAGTACCCCAAAACAAACAAACAAACAAAAAGTTATTACCTTGGGGCCAGGGATTTAGCTCAGTGGCATCACAACTGCCTGCTAAGTACAAGGTCCTGAGCTCAATCCCCAGAAAAAAAAGTTACCACCTCACTTTATAGAGAATTTTTCATAAAGTCTCTCAGTGCAACTGAGCATGACATAATCCTGTGATACAAAGTTGTCCTTATTCCACGTGAAAATGCCACTTAACATGTCCCTCTGAAGTAGGTACATAAGTAAACAAGATATAATCCTGATCGTCCAGCAGATTACAATCTACCAAAACCAATCATAACAAGTTAAACTAAAAAAATCAATGTAACAATCTCTTACTAAAAAAGTAGAGGCCATGCCGAGAGATAATTTAATATATATATTGTGTGTGTGTGTGTGTATATATATATATATATTTTTTTTTTTATAATTTATTATGTATACAAATATAAATTTTTATACGTAGAAAGAAAGGTTATTCCCAGCTAGCACAGGACCTGAGAGCAACACATATTTGAGAAATGACATTTAAGCTACCTTAACAAAAGGTTAGGGCAATGAAAAAATGACGTTGAGAGTAAGAGTGGAATAAACTAAAAGGACAGAAAGTGACTAGAAAGTAGTAATTTTTACAACACCTTGAATGTCATGCTAAATAGGTTGCATTTTATGAAGGAAAGAGAAAGTGACTAAATAATTCAGTGGGAAAATTAATTCTTTTTAAGATCCGTAAATTAAAATGAAAATCACAGTGGAGAGAACAATTCTCCAGTTACGGCCCCCAAACTAGCTGCATCCCTGTCACTCGAACTACACGGGTCTGCTGAGTTGGAAGTTGTCACTGTGTCACTATTCTGAGCACTGCAACTGATTGTCACTCACAGTGGTTTGTGAACTACTGGTATAAAACACACTGAGAAGGGTCCAGGAGTGGACATTAGGACACTATGAGGAAGTCACTGCATCATTCAGAGAGATGCTGCAAAGTAATTACTAGGGCGGAGAGAACCGGAAGCACACAGGTGTCAAGGACAGGGGAAGGAGAATCCACAAGAAGGGATTTCCAAGGGGACTCAAGGTTTCCGGTTTAGGAGTCTGGGTAAATAGTTATTAGACAACACAGGGTAAGAAATAGGCCAGGGCAGATGGAGAGACTGAGTTCAAGTTTAGAAAACCTGGCTCCGAAATAGCCTTCAGAAATAGCCTTCAGAAATACAGATTAGAGTGGTTGAGGAAAACAATACCTTTAGCTCGAGACAGATGTCAGGGTGAACATCAGGATTTAGGAGCCATGTAAGCACAAAGGTAGCGGTTAAAGGACCACTGTGGCATGGGCAGATAAGAAGTCAAAGGGGCGCTGTGAAGAACGTTCTACGTTTGAGGGTCTGAGAGCATAGAAGAGAAGTTAGCACAGAAAGTACAAAGGAGGTACGAGCAGGAAAACCATGACAGATGAAACAGAAGCGTCCCAGCGAAGTCACACGCATTCTCCACTGTAGAAAGATCAAGGAAGATGAAGACAGAAAAAGGCACAGGGAGACTAAAGAGGCAGAAGTCTGAGGACAAAGTGAGTGGAAGTGGGAAGAAAGGCATGAGTGTAGACATCCTCGTCAGAAATACAGCGCGCAGCCTGCTGGTCTTCGATGTGCTTCGATTAAGTGGGTCATGGATAAGTGATTTTTCCTTTGTCATGGCTCTACTTGCACGGATGACAGACAGACAGCGGAGGGTGAACATGCTAGCAGCTCAGCACAGAAGCCAAGGAAGTGGACCAGTGCCAAACTGCACTGACAATGGATCCTCAGTGCCATACACTCAGAAGAAAAGTCACAGCGAATTTCACCTAGAATGTCCTTGGTGAAGAAGTAAAATTCCATTTTAAATAAATTATCCAATCTCAGCTCTTACGAACATGTCTTTCTAATATTCTGTGCTGAAGTGAGAACTATGAACGAACCACCATGGCTGCTGCTGCTGAACATTAGTTGTCCTGAGAAAAGTACACTGACTGAGCCACGAGCCGAAGTATTTTTCATGGGATGCTACTTTTTACTTGAAAACATAATTGATTCATCAACTACCAGTGTTCCAAATGGGACATTTGGAATACATTTTCTGAAAAATAAAGGAAGCTTGTCACATGAAGGAAAAGAACTGTGTTTATTGCCAATGATATAATCTGAGCTCTCAGGCAACAAGTAGAATTTTGGTAAAGCACTATCCATCCGTGTAAGCTCGCCGTACCTCCCAATGCCTACGGCTGTTCTGATGACATCGATGCTGACATTAGTGAATGTGACTTGATGTGTAAGGGTAAAATCTGTCACCACGTGCAAGATCTGGTGACTCAGTGATCCCATATTTTCTGAGTGACTAACATGATGCTACAGTATCAGACATGAGGACAAAGTCTGCTCAAAGGACAGACCAACAGATTTTAACGAAACAGTACAAAAAGTTCACAGATCTGGTTTCAGGTTCTACATTGCAACTAATCTTTGAGAAGCTGTCACACATTGTGTTTTGATGTAGTTATCAAAGAAGAATATCTGAAAATATTTGCAAAGATTATTAAAATACCCCTTCTAACAATGCATCTATGTAAACGCTAGATTTTCTTTACGTGCTCTAATTTAGACCCCATTTCACGACAGACTAAATGTAAATGTGAGAATCCAACTGCCTTTTATTAAGTGAAACACACTAAAGAGATTTGTAAAATGCTAAAGAGACTTGTCAAATGTTATACATTTTATTCAGAAAATATTTTTTCATTATTTATTTGAACCTGAGTTAGTACATAAAAAATATTAAATTTCTCAGTTTTAATTTCTAAGTATTGATACCTGTAACCCACATTAAAAAAAATTCTTTGAGGTCTTCAATCATCAATAAGTGGAAAGGGTTCTCAGACGAAAAGGTCTTTAAGTTTGGAAACAAAAAGATTCAAAGAAGCATATTAATAGTAATGACAATAATTAACAGCTAATCTTAATTGAGTATTGAGTACTCTTCTAAGAATTTTTAAAATATTAACTTGATTTTCCAAAAAACCCTCAAAAGATGAATAATACTTGGAAGAGGTGCATCTGAAGTGCCATCTCACAGATAAGGAGACAGGACAGAAAACCCAGCCAGAGGGACCCTCAACAGCTCCTGAGTATGGCAGGATTTGAAGTCAGAGAGCTGACAGAACAGCCTGTGCTACTCCTTGGTAAAAGGTAGCTTTATAGATTTGAAATGGGAAGGAACAAAAGACAATTAGATGAGAGACATATTTGTAATAATTTCACACTAAGATAAATTTCTAAAAGATAAAATTGAGCATAGAGAAAGCAGCTATCATGTTAACATGTAAAGAACAACAGAGGAAAAAAAATGAGAATCAAGACTTGCCATGTAAAGGTACATGATCCCAACAATGAATGTAACTGTACTGTATCCCTAAATGTACCAATAAACTCAATAAAAAAAAAAAAAAAAAAAAAAAAAAAAAAACAGGCC